ATAATATAATATAATATAATATAATATAATATAATATAATATAATATAATATAATATAATATAATATAACATAACATAACATAACATAACATAACATAACATAACATAATATAATATAATATAATATAATATAATATAATATAATCAGATAATAGTCTGATCTGAGTAGAAATATTTTTTTCTGTTCCTGATTAATCATAGCAGTAATTATAGGTCAATATTTTATCATCAGGGATTTTTAAGGGAATCTGTTTAGACTAATTTGAAAATACCCTTTCTGACAGCTTTCAACAAATTCTTCTTCTCTTTGAAACCTGATTTTCTTATTAACTGAAACGTCATTGTACTAAACATACATGGTATTAAATCTAGCGACAAACCATCTTTTGTGCTGCTAAACTCTAGTGTATGGAATATTTTAATGTGTTCTATTTATCAGTAACTAAAACGAGAAACTTTTCTCACTTTTTCCACTTATTTTATGTATTCATATTACAACTTAAATATAGCCAGAGGGCTTAACATAACTTACTTTTGGTCTGATAGTTGGACTGACTGTGCCATCCAGATACTAAAATCATGACTGTAAGATTGAGTGTCATACATTGCTATAAAGAGGGATAATGTATTGAAATGAATAAATAAGTGACAATAAATTTAAAATCATGTCAGCATTTCCTTTTAGTTAAAATTAATTTAAGAGATTTATCACTCATTTGAATGACCGGTGTTTGAATTACATTGACTGCCTTTGGAAAGATATTTTACTGGCAGGTTGAGTAGCAGCTAAGAATTTATCAAGTTTGTTTTGTAACTGATATAGTTGAGCTCTTATGAGATTTGTTTAAAGATGAATCACTGAAATGCCTGCAAGAAAGCATTAAACAAGTGTGTGACCAAATTTTAGTGCCTAAATGGTAAAGTAATATATTGAATTCCTGGTTCAGATTCTGTGGTGGATAAATTAATTATTTAGCTTTTTGCTTCATTTTATCCTTCTCCAAAGATGATTTATGCTGCAGCTGCAGCGTAGCAGTCACATTCCCACACATCCCTAAGGGTGGTGGCAGTGAGACTCTTGGTGGTTTTTAGCTTCATTTATTTTAAATAGGACTCTGGAGATAGTTAAGTGAGCAAGAATTATCATCGGTGTTTCTTTCACAGATTGATAACAGTGAGGTACCCTAGTGTTAAATTGTGGAAAAGGATACAAATTTCGATCAGTAATTCTAAACAAGTCTGCTCAAGCAGACAAGAAACTAACGAATTGGTTAGTGGATGACATGGCTTCTTTGAGTGTGAATGCAGGTCTCTATCGTGTTTCCTAGCTACATTTTCCGGTTAAGCTGCACCCGGCTGGGACAGTGGGCCATTGGTTATGTGACTGGGGACGGCAACATCCTGCAGACCATACCTCATAACAAGCCCCTATTCCAGGCCCTGATTGATGGCAGCAGGGAAGGCTTGTAAGTATGATACGGTTCTTTCAACTTGCAAATTTGAAAACTAGAGACTGCCTAAGCACAGGACAGATAGTAAGGCTATCTCACTTTGTGGTTTACCTTAAGACTAAGAAATAGACCTCTTTTATTCATGCCTAAGCTGTCATTTTATGGCACCATAATTATATAGAGCAGACAGATTCTAGCATCAAAAAAAATGCTGAAACATAAAAGTACTTTTAAAATATGTGTATATGCTGTTTCTACTTCAGAGTAATTCATAGCTCTTAATTCATGAAAAGCTAAATTGAGTGCTACTTTTTGTTCTGGATACTAGATTTTTTTATTCTTTTAATCTTCTACCTCTCTATTTTCCTTTTTATTTGTAGGTCTTTTTATTCATCTTAACAAAGAGTCCAGATTCTGGAATTATATGTTAATAGCTAACCTCAGTTCAAGCCAACCTGTTGTTAATTTGTTGCTATAAGTTTTCTTCCTACAATGTCTCCAGCCCCAAATGCTGGACAACCTGTCAGGCCCTCCCAGCCAGTACACACTGCTCTTTTGAGTTTTAGAAATTTACTATTTTCTTTACCCTCTCCTTGTATTCTTAGTGTCACTATACCACTCTGCCCCTTTCTTTCACTCTTTCTTTTGGTCAGCAACACAGATTCATGTGACCCGGCTTAAAGGAAGGGTTGTGAAGGACTGTTGGGAGCCTTGCAGGAGATAATCCACCAGCATAGATAGATAGTGAGTGATTTAGATACTACCTTTTCTACAGAAATTACTAAACAGCGAAAATGAACAAGGCAGAGGAAGAAAGGAAGAAACAAGGTTTTCAAACATAGAAGGAAGAAAATGAATTCAATGTGAGGGAAATTAATTCTTTTGTTAGTATTTGATTATTTTCTTTGGCTGTTTGATACTGGTCCTCAAGTGTATTTTTCATACTGTCCTTTAAACTCACTCTGTAGGCCAAGCTGACCTTTACCTCTCCATCTTCCTGCCTCAACCTCTGGAGTGCTGCATTACAGGGATTCTGGTGTACACCTTCCTGCCCCATCAAGAACGGATTATTGTTATTTTTCAGGACGCACAGCTTTGAGAAATTAGTTATATGGGAAATGTCTGACAGGTTGTAGTACCGAATATACATTTCTCTTTTGATCTCCAGATCATCACAAATTTGCATGCTTTCATGCTTTACTTCTAGTACATTAAAGATTTCTATGTGAACCTTTTGATTTACCCTTATATGTGCTTTTTTTAAACTTGTAAAGAAGATACAGGTTGTCAAAACTGCATAGACCGATGTGAGTGGTTTTGATTTTTGTTTTGTTTGTTGGTTAGTTCGTTGTTTTTTTGTTTTTCTTTTGTATTTTGTGCCTTCTGTTTCTCAAAAGCCAACCGAAAACATAAGTAACAACTAGGACTTTTTCTTGAAGGATAATAAACGCTCTGAATTCCTAAGCCAGTCCACTTTCAATATGTGTATGCACACACAGAAACACATATGCACCAAGAGCTATCTCTATTGGCTGTTTAAATATAACCCCCACAGTCGATTTGGATGAATTAAACATAATTTTAATTTTGGAGGATTGTTTTGAACTAAAGGATGGCATCAAAGAGAGATGTTTTCTTTTGCAGTTGAAGCAATGCTGTGACAATGATGACAAGTGTATGCTGGTAGTAGCTAAGATGCCACTTTTCCTCAGTGGTGGGGGCAGGAACCTATGTGGCATTCTGGGTATACTGAGAAGCAAGTCACTGAGATGCCTCTGATGGGTTAGATAGAGCCTTGTTGGTTTTCTTTGGCATCTTCATTTGCATTTCTGCAATTTTCCAAGTTGGACTTCTCCCTAGAATCTGTATGTAGTTTGATGAGTTGAGTATTGAATAATAATACTTTTAATAGCAGTTTCATGATTTGAGAAGAAAGATACCCAATTTTGTTTATTATTCCCAGGTTAATATTGTAAGAATTATTTGTCCTATAGTGACACTAAATTCATATCAGATGAGTCCATTCCTTTTCTTACTAAGTCAATGAAAACTTACACCAATCTGTCTTTTACTATGTGAGACTATTCTGTCCTATAATTCCAGTTTTCTCTTTGTCTAGCATAATTTTCTAATATTGCTTACTATAATGTTTGTAGCTACTTCACCGAAAGATTTTTAATGTTTGAAAAATTTTAAAAAGAGTTTTAAGGTTTTTCTTTTTTCATCAAAACATTTTCTAGACTTTCATCGAAATAGTTGCTACTCCATATTTTAAAATTTTTATTAAGCTTTATAATATAGGAAAAAAATTCAACAATATTTTAATCACTTTTATTGAACTAGTTATACCAGCAATAACATTACAGTCATGTTTTATTAAAAATGACATTTAATGACAATAAACTAGATGTTTTAACAAGGAGATCCCTTATTATAACTTTAGCTCAGTGTTCAATTCTTAGAAGAAAGCCTTGTATCTGCAAGTATGTCTGTGTGAATTTACTGAAATCAATAAAATATGGAATTATTATATTTTCCAGTTTTTAGTACATATTTTACAGTGTGCTCATTTGGTCATTGTGTGCATGTATGCATATTAGTGGGAGTGGACATGGGTAGAGAAAAAGACTGGGAGACTGGGAAAAGACACCAGACACATGAAAAAGCTTTATTATTTAGAACATAGTTATGGCTTAATTATGTTTTTTCTCTCCATGTGATCTCAACATGACATAAATATGATGCAGTTATGATGCTTCCCATAAAGTATATAGCAACTGCAAGTAGAAATATATTCATGTGGCTTTAGAATAGGACATAACTTATTACTAAATTAACTTTTTTTTAATCTGTGAAATGTTTTTTCTTCTTTTTTCTATATATATATATGTATATATATATATTTTTTTAATTTAAGTTACATCCTAGTTGTACCCCATCCCTCCTCCCCTCCCAGTCTCACCCTTCCTCTGATTCCTACCCCCCTTGCATATTCTTGAGAAAAGGGGATCTCCCTTTCTAATTCACCTCAGCTCATCAAGTTGCATCAGGACTGAGCATATCCTCTTCCCCTATGGCCTGGCAAGGCAGTCCTACCAAGAGGAAGTAACTTTATGAGGAATATATTGCTAACAGGTTTTTATTGAAATTGATTATATTCATTTATGTTAGGCATTTCTTATGGTGCAAACAGTGCAAGAATATGTTGTTGATTTACAGAAAAAGGACAATAAAACATGAGGCTAAAGATAGAATCTGCTTAGACTTACTTGCAGTAAAGCCTCATATTTAAAATAATAATGTTTCAGGTCAGATGAAAGGGGAGGAGGTCCTCCCCAATCAGTGGACTTGGAAAGGGGCATGGGAGGAGATGAGGGAGAGAGGGAGGGTTTGGGAGGGAATAAGGGAGTGGGATACAGCTGGGATACAGTTAATAAAATGTAACTAATAAAAAAGAAAAATTAAAAAAATAAAATAATATAATATTTTTTTGTTTAAATTCAGTTATCTTTATCCTGATGGGCGAAGTTATAACCCTGATTTAACCGGATTATGTGAACCTACACCTCATGATCATATAAAAGTTACACAGGTAAGAATGATTTTTGGAACTATAATTTATGCATATCTATACTACCTCAGAAATAAATCTGAACCTCTACCACATTGTGTTCAAAAGTACAAGTTTTTAACATGATAACACCAGGAATTCTGCAACTAAAAAGAAATTTGATGATCTCTGAAATAAGTTTCTTGTTGTTAATAGTAATTCTTGCAATCTAATATTGACATTTATCTAGCGGTAGATAAATCAGGATGTAGGTACATAGATGTAAGGAGAGAAATGCATGAAAAGCAAAATGGATAAGAAATGATCATTTTTGTGTTAAGGTTTTTAAAGTCAAATACATAATTGAAGAGCACTGAAAATAATAATTATAATTTTATAAATCCAGTTTGACAGTCTCAGGGACTCTGAGAACATGATAAACTCTTTACATAAATTTTGGTAAAGCAAGAATCTAAGTGAAAACATCTTTTGGTAGCAAACGGCACGTGTATGCTTCTTTCCTGTGCACCGGAGGATCTACACACCGCCATGTTCAGTGTTCGCTGCAGTGTTTTCACAAAGCCACACATTACAAAATACTGAAATGTTCGATAGTGGACTGAATCACCTATAGCTGCTCACAGTGGTTGTGCTACGTGAAAAAACAGCAGGTTGGGAGCCCTGTGTACTCATTGGGAATTCCCGCAGCTTGTCCTGTACATGTCTCTGTTGACTGAGAACTTACGTGTGTAACATTTCACCTTTAAAACTTACATTGTATAAGTCCACTTTTTAAAAACGAGCTGCCATGTATGAATATACGATTGTGAATTCCCAAAGATGCCATACTGGAAACATGCTTAACTGAAGAATTATTGAGGAATTGAAGAGAGCATGAAGGGAAGACTTGAACACAGTTTTGCCAAGTTGATTTTATAACAGTTTATATTTTAAATATGTTCGTACTTTGATAAATAGTAAAAGTCAAAGGTGGTAAGAAAATGTCTATTGGCTTCAATGTCCAGAATATTGATATACTGAAGTTTGAGGGACACTCATCATGTATATGTATTGTTTATGGAAGGCATTTAAAATTTAATATATGTCTGCTACATAACATATATTTTCTAATATGTATAAAGGGGTATTAATAAGAGATCATTCCTCTTTCTGGATCCACTTTCAGAAAATGAAAATTGGGCTGAAGATGACCTCAGTTGGCAAACACCTTCATAACATGTTTGAGCTTGTTACTTTGGACCCTAATACTACAAAAATAAGTCAATGAAGCTATGCAGAAATCTGCAAGAACAGTGTGGTCCCTTCAGGTTCACATAGAACAGTCTTACCGTTAGAGTACAACAGATTGCCTACACTTGACTTGCGCATGTTATAGCTGCAGACTGACTTGAGCAAGTTCATGGGTGATCTCAGTGCTCAGGATCCTCAACCGCCTCTAACTTATTTTGATAATAATTCTTTTCCACCTTGTTTTCTTTCCTTGTCCTTGTTTAGTTTATTAAATATCAGACAAATATCCTAGTGGATGAGATGTATAGATGTCCATTTATATATGTGTGTTTATCTACACACAAATAAAATCTTTGCAGTGTTTTAGTAGTCACATAATAAAAATCAGCATTTATTTTTTCTACTCATGCACTGGTATTTTGTTTGCATTTCTTCACTAAAATATGACTTAATTTTTACAAACTCATAAAAAAATCTTGAATATTTTTTTTTTTACATTTACTAGTCTGCGTTTTCTTTTTCTTTATCACGCAGAAAATTTCAGTATTTGTTCCCTGAGGTTCACTGTGTAAAACGTTCTATGCTTGACTAAGCCAGTTCTTAGTTGTTAAGACAATTACTTTTCATGTACTTTAGAGTTGAAGACTTTTGAATTTGGGAGAAGTAACTGAAACTCAGTGTGACTGATCAGTGTTTTTCTTCACTGCATGCCATGCATGTGCTTCTGTACTACAACAAGTATGGCAGCATGCCTGGAGAAGAAGGGAATGTTGCTTATCCTTCACCTCAGATTTCTAAACATGTCAAATAAGTAAAGTGTGATATCCAGAACACACTTGCTTAGTTTGATAATGAGGTAGAATTAGTGTATGACATTTACCAAAAAAAAAAAAGGAAGGAAGGAAGGAAGAAAGGAAAAAAAGAGAAGAGTATGTCATTAATATTGTCATTCTGAAACTGTAGGTATTGTCTGTAGCTAGTGAAGCATGTCCTTTCTTAAGTAACCCAGAGATTAAGAAAACAAAAAACAAAAAACAAAAAAAACCCATAAAACTGATGCCAAGATCTCAGATGTCCAAAACATTGATTTTGTAGACCAAATCATGAATATCAATTTAAAATGTTCTCTTAAATGGTAACATAATTCTGACAAGTTCAAGTGTGGGACACAGCCTGTAAGTCACTGTCCTTGAGTGAGTTCCATGTTAATACTTCACTCTAGAAAACCACTAACCATCGGCCCTGCTTCCCTGTGTTGTAGGAGCAGTATGAACTGTACTGTGAAATGGGCTCCACCTTCCAGCTCTGTAAGATTTGTGCGGAGAACGACAAAGATGTCAAGATTGAGCCTTGTGGGCATCTCATGTGCACCTCGTGCCTTACCGCGTGGCAGGTAGGTCCGCGCTCTCTGCGGCAGCACAGGCGCTTCTCTGTGTCCTAATCACACTCACCCTCTCAGGTTTCTACTTCTCAATCACTCAGGGAGTAATGCTTACAACTGTTTTAACTAAAATAGTAATTTCTTTTAAAGCTTATTATTTTGAGTGTATAGAAATTGACATTTCTGCTATGTTTTGTATTTTGTTTCTTTCACGTGTGTAACTTAAGTTCCTGCTGATTCCAAGTGGTACTGCATCTGTCATGCCATTTATTTCAGGATGGCACAGATATTAATTTACCAGGTGAACACGTTTAGTCTAACATAGACTGTGTTCCTGGGAAGATTTTGAAGCATGGTAAACTGCAGCAGAGAAATCTGCTGCTGCTGCTGACAATCAGATTTCTTTTCTCCTGAGCCCTGGTTCATGTCTCACACATGTATATGACTGCTTTTGTGAGACCAAAACAGGGGATTTAGGGAAGCATGTCCCTGAAGCAGTTTCTACCCAAACAGCCAGTTTTCAACTTTGAGAAACTCAATCAACGATTAGCATCCTTCCTGTTTGTGGTTAGGACAGCACTAAACACAAAGTGGCTTAATGCTTTAGAATAAGGACACAGAAAAAGCTGCTTTCCCCCAATGACTCGTTTGTAGGTCTTTAACTTATATTCCAGTTTTGACTGTTTGAGAGAAGGTTTTGATCAGGCCGTCCTGCAGTTCACTACTTAATGTAGCCTGTTGTAAGTAGCGATATGTCGATTAATTTGGAAAGCAAAGCATTTTAAACCTGCCCTTCTCTTTCCAACTCCAGGCTTCTGACATGAGGGAAAATGGGACGGTTGGTGTATGAAAAGAGACAAAGTGTCTCAGAGGCTGATAGTACCTGTTGAGCTCATGGATTGACAATAAATGTAATAACGTTCACAATTTCATAGTTTTTAAAAGACCCTTTCCTCCCCGCAGAGACTTTAGAAATGGGATAGAGAACAGGGAAGAACTAGGAATAAATAGAGTTTTTTTAGGTTTTCCTAGTCCTCTGTGAGCTCGTAGGCCTCATTGTCACCACAGTAAATTCGACCAGCATCCCCTTGCCTGACTCCTTCAATATGCTTTTGGTTTTATGTTACCTTAGGTTTCCCTCACACCTTTGCCCTAACTTTCTGCAACCTTTTCATTTTGGTGATGAATCTGCACAGCACAGGGAATTTCTGGAGGAAGGAAGGGACTTGGTGCAGCATCAGCAAGAATCATTCCCAGCAGATGGGGACTGGATGGTTGTTTCTGTTAACAGTAATCATTCTGTGCACTTGGCAAGGCCTTCTTGAAAACGACTTGCGATAAATTTTCATATGCTGGTGGAAGTCAGATCCATCCAATCCTTAGGGCATTTCAGACGCACTGGTACAAAGTGTTGTTGACCTTTCACCTTCCCACTGACCGTCTGTGAAGGGGTATTCAAAACTGCTTCACCTGACACGCATTCAGGAACCACAGGACGAATATTGAACTAAGGAGAAGCCAAGTTGAATCTCTTCCCATGCTGTAGTGACTTGATCATTCTACCTAGGATTATGGTCCCACGTGTTCCTGACAGAAAATACTCCCCCCCCCCACTTTAAAGAATGCATAAATTTAGGCTAGTGCACACCTGGGCCCCCTGCCCCAGTCCTGAAAAATGCAGTGTGACCATGTCATGCATTATGGGAGTTCACGTTTGATCTAGTGCTGTACTTGCTATCAGCAAAGGAGTCGGATTAACCTACTTCCATTGGCTTGACCCAAATGAAAGCTATTGTTTAATGTGACTTACGAGTGCCAGATATAGTGTAGCCCAAGGTCGGTTTTCAAATGTATGCCTGAATGTAAAACAAGAGAAGGTGCGTTAATTCTGTATATTTTTAAAAGGACTGCTTATCTTTTTGTTTGTTTGTTTCAGTTTTCTGTAAAGCTCTGTTTCAGTGTGTGGTGTAAAGGGCCATGGGATTATTTCCAGCTTCTTCCTCCTGTATTGTTAATGCTCTGCCTTTTACATCACCGCAGCTTTTCTGTATATTGCTGAACATTCTCCACAGGGTGTGTGTAGTTCCTCTTTCTTTCTGGTAATCAGTTCCCGGATGCCTTGCACATATTTTCATATTGGTGTTAGTGACCTTATGTGTAGATGTGTCCAGTAGTATTCATAAATTAGTAGCCTTTGCTGTTTCTCAGTGTTACTTTTAGAAATTGAGGAAGTACATACATGATCGAGCACTGCAAACAGTGTTTGGGGAAACTAGTAGAAGTGATATGAGAAAATACTAGTAATTAATCATTTATTAAGTGACATTTTAAAAAAGTAACTATTTCAAAGGTGTTCATGAAGTTGAAAGGAGTCCCATTAAATTACACTTACACTACTAGTGAGTACTGTTATCCTAAGCTGAGTGTCGGATTTGACATCTACACCAAGGAAAAATAGGCGAAATTTGATCTCAGTATTAATCTTGATACCTCCTCACAAATTAGTGTTTTAACAAATATTCCGGTTCAATTTATATGATTCTATGAGCTTTTTCCTAATTATATTGTAAATATTTACATATGTACCCATTTATCATCTAGACTATGGATTGCTGATGTACCTGTATGTAGGTGGTGACTTGATATGTGATTTTCTGGTCAGATGCCATGAAGGAAAGCGTGAGGGTATGAGATTATTCTTAAGTGGACAGTACTGCAATCATCTCTGGATAGCCTCATGGAGTTCTTGTCCTAGAGTGTTCTTCCTGAGAAGACACTGATCTTACAGAGACCTTTGCCTGCACTCTCCCTATAAGTGAGTCTTAAAACTTGCACCACGGATCCATGTGTTCTGTGCTGTGGCCAGTGAGCCTCCTGATTTAACCCTGTGCTAGCTGGACTGCTGGCACTGACAGGCACGGCACCTAGTTTCTACTTACTGTGTTCTCCCAAGAATTACTCGCAGGTGCCTGATGTATGTTTTCCTCGTTCTTAAATAACTTGTCGAGGCTTTCAATTTCTAAAGTGACAGTCTGGAATCGCTGAGTCTGAGTGGGGTCTCACTAGTGAAAATGTATCAACTTAATACTGGGCGTTTCTACTCTGGTGTGGAGCACACGTTCTTTTACACGCAGTTGTCACATGGTGTGCTCTTGCTGACCAGGAGGTCTGTGCCGCGCTCTCTCCAGTTAGTGCACCAACAGCAGTACTTTGTGATCCTTTAAACATGTTACTGAAAATGGCTGTCCTAGTAAGAACAAGTCTTACAAAGTTAGTTCAACTAAAACGGAGTTGAAAACATTCAGCAACAACTTCCTATCTAGACCCTCAGTTGGAGGCTCACTGGACTCAGCTAACTGTATGCACATAAACAGAACACAGCCATCAGAACATTTCTTGCCTTCTGTAATGTATTGTCAAACTTTGGATCTAAAGTTACAGATTTACTTGAAATTTCCCAAGTGTTGGAGTTCTGTGCTGAAGGGCAGGTTGTAGCAAAAAGCAGATGTCTCTGTCTTTTTGCTTTGCCTGTGTTCCAAAAAGATATACTACAGTCATTTTTTTTTCTTTTTCCTTTAAAGCTGTTGGTTTTATTTCATGGGATTGTCCATTTTTCCTGCCAGAGAAAAAGTTAAGCTTTTCAGGTAAATCATGCACAGCAAAAATCTATTGTTGTGGTTGCCGTACAACAGTTCTTTGATAGAAGCCGGCCTGGACACACCAGCATTTGCTCCCCATGCCATCAAGCCTGTTCTGTTTACTGTTACTTTAAAAAGTATATCTTCTGTGCAGGGGTCTTAGGTTATCTCCATGCATAGTCCTTGGTTGGAGTATCAGTCTCAGGAAAGACCCCTGTGCTCAGATTTTTTGGTTCTGTTGCTCTCCTTGTAGAGTTCCTGTCCTCTCCAGATCTTAATGTAGCCCATGGCAGTTCAATATCCAAGTGGGTTCCATTGTAATAGGAACAGAGACTGTCTCTGACATGAACTGATTGGCCTGCTCTTTAATCACCTCCCCCTGAGGGGGAAGCAGCATTACCAGGCCACAGAAGAAGACACTGCAGCCACTCCTGATGAGACCTAATTGACTAGGATCAGAAGGAAGGAAAAGAAGACCTCCCCTATCAGTGGACTTGGGGAGGGGCATGCATGCAGAAGGTTGAGGAATGGAGGGATTGGGATGGGAGGAGGGAGGGAACCACAGGGGCTATACAAAGTGAATAAAGTATAATTAATAAAGAATTAAAATAAAATAAAAAGAACGTAAAAAAAAAAAAGAGTATCTCTTGAACAGCTGGCTTCTCTCCAGCCATCTCTGAGCTAGAAGAAAGTTCAGATATAATTTTACTCTAAAATCACTTCTGGATGTTTTAAAGATGGGATTATTTCCAATAACTACCTGAAACGAGTATCTACTTTTCCTGCAGGTTTAATTATGGACATTAGACAGTTTCCTTTTATCTTTCTGTTCTTTGGTTGGGTGTGCTGATATGAAAATGATTTTAGGGAAATGTATGCCTGCTAAGAAGTTAGGATGAATCAGTCAGAGACCAACAGGGAACACTGAACCTGGATGGTAAATCATAATCTGTTCAAGAAAGTACATTTTTTGCAAGTCCTCCTTCACCCAAATTGTCTTTCACTTGATACCCTATTTTGGTTTAATTCAAATCATTAGAGACTTTAATTTGATGTAATTAATAGCAAACCCAACAAAGGCACAGTAGTGGTAGCTGTACAGACTGTCAGCACTTGCTCATTAATTGCTATCATAATGGCCTGTTAGTCATACCCCCAAAGAGGTGTCAGATTTTTTTTTCAGTTTTTGAAACATCTGTGTTATTTAATAAATTGAGTAACCATAGAAGAGTTTGCACAGCGTATCGAATAAGTTAAATAATCAGCTTCCCCTACCCTGTGAGGTTGTTTACCCCAGGTGCTGCTTCTCTGTCCCACTCTTGGTCAGTAAAGCTTGCAGGCTCTCCTTCACATGTCAGTAAGACGCCAAGGACA